GTGAGTAAATTAAACGTGTATGAAAAAGGTAAAAGCAGTTATAGAGAAGGCTCCAAGGGACATTTCTGTCAAAAACAATCACTCAGCGAGTTAGCAAAAAGAGAACTTTGTGACGGCTCCATTAGAGGATTCAAGGAGACGGCACTTATGGTTAGGCACCCACCCAAATTCCAGATTAAATATCGAAGTGACTCAAGAACCAAATTTTCTACGAATTCAAATTTTCGTACCTGTCATCATCAGGGATGCCCTACCAGAGTTCCCTCTACAATACAAGCTTAATCGGCTGGGAGGCACCAAATGGAGCTAGCGAATTTAAGGTATCCGTAGGAACGCCAAGTTTCTATACCTGAAGTGCTCCCAATAACCATAGCTACTTTTTTCGGGCAGGATCCTCACAAAATCACCAAATGAGACCTGCTACTATTGCCAACAAAAAAGGCAGGGTCAGGAGAGGGGTGGGAAAAGACCTCCTTGTACCGAGAGCACCTCAAATCAAAACCATTGGATCGGTAGCGGTGAAATAGTGTGCATACAAAGCCCTTTCTCGGTACGCTGACCCCTTTCCCCTACCTTACAATTTCAAATTCTCTCATTTCTCCTGTAACCCTGCAACTTTCTCAAAATTCCAAGCGTTGTCCCGCTTGTCTAGAAAAATTGGCGTCGGGAAGGGAGGAAGGGACAAGGAGAGGTCACCAATTAGCTACCAACCGCGCATGAAACCGAAAAAAACTGCAAAAAAGCAACATTAGGAAGCATTTCTCTCGTGGGTTTGGAGAAATTTTTATCAATGCCAGTTGCGCCCCCTACCGACCCAATACGATCTCCCCTCCCCGGCGACCAGAAATGACACTTCGATGGGGCTGTCCCAGCTATGATGTAACCTGTTGCTTGGCAGTTTCAACGTAGTCCAGCTCTTGTGAGGATCACCCATACCCCCTTCTTTCAAGTAACCGCGAAAAAGCGTTTTAAACGATCAAAGACCTGCAAAAAGGCTTTTGCACTACACGATTCAGAAATGAATTTCGGACGAGCTTACCGTTGGCATCGTGCCAATAAGCGGTAGATACGGCTGCATGTATTCATGCACCACCGCAGCCGCTTCATATCAATCCCTTCGCTTCATATTGTACTTCGCAAATGAAGCGATACGAGCATCAGCATCGGTCGGACATTTGTGGGCGGCGGAGGAGGTGGGCGTCTGAGTCGGTATGTTGCAGCTTGATAGGGTGCTATAAGGGTGCCTGGTTGGAAAAGGCGCCACAGGGGCATCGGTTTCTTTCCTGCTGGGCATATTAATCCTACTCGTCCTGGCGATTTATCGTGCCACCTTCCTTCAACATTCCTCTGGGCAGGGCACGTCGTACCATAACGAGTCTCCGGCGCGGTGAAGAGAAAAACCATTTGAAAAAATTCTCAGCCCAAATACTATTTCCGTCCCCCTTCCAGCAACCTAATACGACCCTCGCTTGGCATTCGTCATGGTGCGACTTGCCCTGCTCACAGGAAAGTCAATGAAATGAAAAAGCGCATGAAGTGTATAAAAAAGAATTTTTTTTGTACAGCGAGTTTTAAAATTCAGGTTTTTTGGGTAATTTGAAGACAAATTGTGGACATCACGAATCACAATGCCGCGGATATGATAACAACTCCTGATAAAGACTGAGCAGCAATATTATTACACAATGCTGTCCACCTTCTGGTATGATCTGGCGAAGTGGCAAAACATTTGGAGGTATGGGGAATTGAACCCCAGACTTCTCGCATGCGAAGCGAGCGCTCTACCCCTGAGCGGCGACGCTTACTCCTTGAGCTATACCGCCCCCAGTCTCCCCGCAATCGGAATTTATACCAAAGAGTTTAGGTGAGTATAGATATTTCGAATGGCCCCGTGATGCGTTCTGTGGAGATGGACCCCTCTTCAGCAATCAAATACGAGTCCCTGCTGAAGATCCCCAAAGTACGGCGCGCTCTGCTCACAAGAGAGCAAATAAAGTTAAAAATGAGCTCGAGCTCATTGTAATAGGTATTCTTTTCAGGAAGAGCTCTGGAAGTTCACATTTTGCATATTTTTTATTTTTCCCCCTGTGAGAGCACCGCTGCATTTGACAGCATGAATGGCGAATGCCATGCTTCAGTAGAACTGCTAATAATGATGAACAACGGCATTGATTACACAACGTTACCCACTCACCCGTATGCTCCAGCAGTCCAATTGTAAAGTGCAAAACGTTTGGAGGTATGGGGAATTGAACCCCAGACTTCTCGCATGCGAAGCGAGCGCTCTACCCCTGAGCTATACCCCCACGGTCTATGGTATTGAAAATCTCACACAGAATTTTAGTAAATATGAATAAAATTCGAACGCGGTGATGCGTCCTGTGAAAGGGACAAAGACTCCGCGAAGGCTTACCTTCTTGTCTTATCGTTGATGATTACCATCTACAGAGCGAAATAGCGAACATAAGAGTTGTGAAAACGAAACGCAGATACAGAATGGGCGTACTTTTACACAGGTCTCGCATGTCAGTCCTCTAAATCTGTAGCAGAAGTTGAACAACGCAGCGATACAGGGGTTCGTACTTTAACCAGTCTCCATGGTCCAGCTCTATCTGTAGCTCTCCTCCTAGGAAGTTGAGCAGCAAGCAAGCAGCAGCTGGATCCTTCAGAATTTCAACAATCACTTGATTAAATTGCTTGAAGAACTTGTTTTCGTAAAATGAACAAAGCTTCACGATCTCATCCCTTTTTTCATATGTAAAGCTCAAGGTCGTGCTTACAGTCGGATGAGCAACGAGACAGCTGTGAGAGGACTGGCTTTTTTACTTTTGAAAGCAATTGAAATGCGAACTCGCTCTCGCGTGAATGGACTCCATGAGGACTGGGTTACATCACCCTCGGTGAATACTAAGTACTCGGCGTGAGGGGAGAAGTGAGAAGGGGGGGATTGTCGCGGGTAGTAGCGACCAGGCCCTCGCTTGATCATATGCTATATAAAAACTCGTTTCTCTATGTGTAAGAGCACCTGTACACCTGGCCACTCACTGCATAAGCAGTTCAGATCTCTTTCGAGCTTAAAGGGGAAACGATGAACGCTTCAGAACTGTTGTAATAGGCGGACGAGGTGAGTGGGGACGGTGGCGAGTTGGCCATGCTGACTTATTGGAAAGGATCTGCTACAATGCAGAAGAGTATTCTGAGAAAGGACCTATAAACTTCGCAGGTAAACGCTGATAGTAGCGATACGGAGATGGGTGAAGTTGGACTTTCGGGTTGAGGCAGATCGCGCTGTCAGTTTTCTTCAGCATCATGGAGTTCCCTGGAACGTTCCTAGAGTGGACAGTGCAAAAGCTTCATTGATTTTTTAATTTCTGTATTCATTTAGGCACAGTTCGGCTCGGTGGGGGCAACGAATGGTACTCGGCTATAAGTGTGCAAGCCACTTTGTGAGAGCCTGTAGATTCATGTAACCACAGCAACTCACTCGAGTATTTCTGAGCTTCACAGAAGCTTACTGGTCCGACTGATATGCGACTTGTTAATAAATATGAGCTAAAAGGAAGTATCGGAAGTGGAAAATGCCCCTTCCAAGTCGATTAGCGCCTTTTTTATATACAATTAATCGGAAAAAGAAACACTAAGCAAGCTAAGCAGCAGCGATCGACAAGTAACACTGAGCAAAGGAAGGAGAAGATGGTCAAACAAAATGACTAAAAGCAAGCACAGGGCAAATACTTAACACTCGATAATAACGCCTGCTCATAAACAGTTGCTTTCATGATGGACGAGTCATGTGAAGAAGGCGACTCCCAGGAAAAGAGCACCTCACATGGGGCAAGAGTAGGAGAGTCGAACAATGGACACAGGAGGTATGTGAGACTACAGACCTGACTAACACATGCCATCTTACTTGCACCTGACAACGTCGAACGGGGTATCTTAGCGGCGGGGTCAATATTCAGCGCTGGCGAAGGAAAGTTGTCTCTGAGACCTAACGGCTGAAGAAGAAAAATATTTTCTGTTTGGCTGATCTCCTCTTTTTGTGAGCTGTTTTCCTTCCCACCGGCTCGTCCCACCCCCCTCCTCCCCGTCGCAGCTAATTGGATAGGCAATAAAACCCCGCCCGGGAAAGACCGCTAGTCGCCGAAAATTTAGAAAAAAAACTCAAGGAAAAAGAAAAAATGTGGTTACCAACAGAGAGACATGATTCTACTATCGAGCCCAAAGAGCATGGGCCGTGTAAGAATGAGGATGGTACGGGGGCTCGTACCAGAAAGGGAACATTGGAGGGTGGGGGGGGGTCATATTTTGCGAAAAGTATTCTCAAGAGCAAGGCGTGCCTTGATTTGGACAGGCATGGGCCTACTGGGCCCGAGTGATAAGCCTGTTGCTCGTTTATAAGACACTTCCAGGCTGCGAGTTAGGCGAAAAATACGTGGTAGAGGGCGTGCTTACCTTACACGCGAGCCACCACTTGGGTTGGCCAAGCGCGGAATGTGCCTTTAAGTTCGTTCAGGACTTCAGGTCGGACTTATCATCAGTCTGCTCCATATGGGTAGATATTCATCCACACTCAGTCAATTAGTTTCACACCTCAAAAACAAGGGTTTCTTCAACTGGTTCAACGCCTGGGTAAGTGATTTCCATTAAAAGCTGCCACTTCACCCGTTCTACTTTTAATAGAAACAAAAGCCATCAACTCCTGCAAGCGCTTAGACAATATGCGAGTACAATGGAAGGTTGGAGGTGACAGTCAGCCTGTTGTTTGCCTAATGGTGGCTAGCAAAAAACCCGTCAAATCTCATTGTGCATGCACTTTGTGGTGAGTGGCGAGTGCTGTGCTGTAAAGTGAAGCCTATTTAATGGTTCGCTCTTGCCTCAGACCTGTCGTTACCCTCCATTGTGTCGAAGGAGGCCGACGAGACCTGGTGGGTAAGTTGGCTTTCAGCCCTTAGGGTTCATTGTCCCTGGAGGGGACTAAGCGTTTCTGTCATTCAGCCATGAATCTGACTACTGTTTTGTCTGGCGTGGCGGGAGTGGCCGCTGTCACCACCACCCTCAGCATCGTCTTTGTGGGGTATCTCATCAACGATATCAACGATTTCTATGCGGACTCGATGAGGCAACTTGCCAATTTCAAGGTATGTAATTCAGGGCCACTCAGCCCAGAAAGCCAAGTTCTTAATAACCTTCGTTTTTAGGACATCGCGAACTCTGTTTGGTACGAAATGCAACCAACTCCTGCGGAACGTCGGCGCCAATTACGATCCCTCCTTCGACAACATCGACAATACTCCGACAATATCTGCGACTGCGCCCCGCAAGTCGTCAACTGCCCCGCTGGTCTGACGGGACCTCCTGGAGAACCAGGTGAACCAGGACAACCAGGAATGCCAGGAGTTCCTGGAAAGAAAGGCAATGACGGCATATCGATTTCCGGTCAAGGAGGAGCAGGAGGTTGTGTCAAGTGTCCTATGGGCCCTCCAGGACCACCAGGTCCAGACGGAATCCCCGGACCGAAAGGACCTGACGGAGCCCCAGGCATAGGTGTCTCAGCTCCTGGGATAGGAATGCCTGGACCTCCTGGCCCACCAGGAGATCCTGGGCCACTCGGTCCACCAGGAGAACCGGGTTCGCCGGGAATGCCTGGAGTTCCTGGAGTATCTAGAGCAAATCTACCAGGTCCGCCTGGACCAGCGGGGCCAGCTGGACCACCTGGACCTATGGGTGAAGGCGGAGGAATCGGAGGCATGGGCCTACCAGGACCACCTGGGCCACCTGGACCTGCCGGTAATCCAGGAAGGCCGGGAACAGATGGGCTGCCAGGAGAACCAGGAGCTATGGGAGAGCCTGGTTACGATGGTGCGTACTGTCCATGTCCTGCTAGAAGCGCTATATTTGCGCAGAATCTGAGAAGGAATGCAGGAGTGGTGAACATGTCCGCAACACGTGCAGTTCTTCCAGCGAAAAGGAGGCATAAGCTCGCATCTAAGAAACGATTTTTGAAAAAAATGAGAAGAGTAGCGAGAGCATAGCTCATTTATGATTATTTTTACCGATCTAGTCCTTAATAGTACTTGTTTAGCCGTAGCAAAGTCCGTAATAAACATTTTCTAAGCTTTTGATTTTCATACTTCCGAAACATCTGCTACTATAGGCGCTTTCCGGCTTAGTAGGGGCAATAAATGGTAATCATCGAAGCCCGAGCAGGCCACCTTGTCAGAACCTGTGAACAATTGTAAGCAAAGGGCTCATTTGTATCGTTCCGCAACTTCACAAGAGCTCACAGGTGTAGCCAGAATGAGACCTGTCAGTTTACATTAACCACATGAAGGAGGCTATCGGAAGTGCAAAATGCCCCTTCCAAGGTGAACCGCTCCTTACCATATCTTCCGCATCTTGCGGTTCTCATTCCAGTCTAGAGACTCCATACTTATACTCCTTAAAGGCAGCGTCCGCGATCAACCAAAGTGAAAAAACCCTCCAATGAAAACGAACGCGGAGTACGCAACCATAGCGGATATCCCACTCTTGCGGCTCGAAATGTATTGATTGACGAGGGCTGACGTGACCAACTTCGTATATGTCACAATGTGAAAATTATCCGAAAGCATACCACTTGTTGGAGATACGCAGCACGCATACCTAATCTCAAGGGAGTTCGAGAAGTAGGATTGCAGTTCCTCCTTTATTCTTTTCTTCAGTTTGGAGAATTAAATCACTGGACGACGCTACATCGATTACATTTCTGGACGACCGCCTACTCGATGATCAGGCTTCGATGTAAGCTCTTTGAAAGATAGTATAATGTTCATTTCCGTTCCAGTTGGAGTCTTGATGGTTCCTTTACGGAAGTGACTGAAGATTCAGGCGCGTTGCGGAAGGCGAACGGGAGCAGATTACTGCGCCTCCCATGATTCGACGGAGAGTTGATGCAAAATGTACGAGGTCGTTGACTATTCCACGGAGCTTTTTCATTAGAGGTGGGTGGGGGGGGAATTTTCTTATCTCACAGCCCATAGCATGGACATGAACAGATGATAGATACTCCTCAAACTATGACCTGTCCATCTTGTCTGCTACCTTACAAGATCGCCACGTAGGTGCGGAAAAGTCCGCCATTGAGCTGACATTTTTTGCCAACAAAGGACTATGCCCTTCATTTTTTATTCCTCTGCCGTACGACCCCTCTCCCATAGCGACAAATGCGACCCCTTCGTGGACAGTCCCGAAGTCTGCCAAGCCCTGCAGGCGAGTTGGTGAACCGGCTAATAAAGCGGATTAGGACAAAACTGACAACATCGTTGGTAGAATCTCATCGTGGATGTGGTACCTGGCCGCCGATACGGGAGTCGTATTTGCTCTTGAGAAAGGAAATTCGAACAGCGAGAACAAAGTTATTTATTCTTTCCTAGTTGTCGGTCTTTTCTCTGTTTTCCCGTTCGTTCGCTATAGTCCCCCCAACCTTCCCGTTGCCTCCTTCTTACGGGCTCTTTCTGATCTGAGGAAAACGAGGGGAAAAATTCAGGAGGCTGAAACACTTAGGCAAATGGAATGTAGGTAGGAAGGCTTGGTTCATACCAGTATTTAGAATACGAGCGCTTAGGCATATGTACAGCGCTCGCGGAAGAGAAACTTTTCTGGCAGACCTTTACGCAGCACAGTGGTGCCTTGACCATTTCTATAACATGTCACGACTCAGCTCCACTATGCGATATGGAATTTCAGCAGAGGCGACCTCGAAGCATTAGCAGACTTATTGGACTGTCATCCACTTCTGTTATGAGTACAGTCTCACACTGGTCATTGCCAGACCGGTGAGGGGCGTCGTCTAGCCAGTTATGAGTGTGAACACTGTTGAAGCCAGTTTTTCAAGCCTTTTTGATGAAACGCTAGTATTGCGACATAAGGAGATGGTTAGAAACACCTAAGTAGATACGAAGGATATAATACAGTAATGTCACTTGCCCGCTTCAACAACCTTTGGCACCGCGCCAAACGCAGCCGCACTGACACGCCCCACCGGTCCGCAATGATGAGGACTGTACCTTTAACTTTGAAAGGGAAAAGCCTGCCTGATTTGGATTAAGTGTGAGTCTCCAAGACCTATAGCTGTGGGTGCTAATAACTTTCGGTGGTGAGGGAAGGGACCACCTATTCGATGTGTGCTTTTTTCTTTTTCTTTACACAATCGCGTCTCACTCTGCAAGTCCGGTAATTTCCTGTAAAGAACCCTGTAGGCTCATGTCAAGCTTGGCGAGTTGGCACAAGCGTCATTAGAAGGCCATTTCTCTGTTATTTTCCGAATATCAACAAGTCATTTTGACAAGTTTGACAAGAGCTACAGAATGTTTGACAAGTGATACCAAACTCACCGTGTCCTGACAAGGTTGTCCGTTATTCACATGTATACAGCTTCTTGGTAGGCTTACGAGCGCTTTCAGATGTCCTCTCCCCATACCCAAGGTTATTACCGCCCAGTTGGGACGACCATCCTTGCCCCCCCCCCCAGGTCATTCCCCGCCACCAGTCTCTGCACATTGCCTAGAAGTAGTGCTGCCTCAATAGGACAATTTTCCTTGGTTTTACTTTCTAGCACTATCCCCTCCCCCCTCCCGCAGAAAGGACAAATTCACCGTCGCCACAAGAGTTGTCCCAACACAGCTGTTGGCCTAGAATAGTGCCGACGTCTAATCAAAAGTACAGAACATTTCTGGCAGATAATGGACCTTCGAGCTAGTCGGGAACAAGTTTGGCGTAACAGCAAATGTCCAGTCACAATGGCTGAACCGCTACGTGTCCTGCCGAAGTAAAACTGATATCAAGCCCTTCTCGGATAGGCAAGCATTCTCCTTCCTTTTTGAGTGAGCATTCTACTTCCATTCAGAATCGTAGTGGCTTATTGAATGCGATGTGGCCTATACAATGACTTGCGGGCCAGCCGATGTACAAGTCAGTGTTTTATCCTCCCAGACGAATCTTGTGCCAATTTACCGTACGGGTAGAGGGCTTGGTTGGTCGGGCGGAGTTAGGCAGCGTTCATACTTCGCGACAGCAGCGGCGATCGCGGCAACCTCGGCGACCTCGGCGATCGCCGCGATCGTCGGTACATGGCAGAGCGCGCCCCAACGCTATTACTTGCGCTCCGAAGGCTTTTGGGAAGAAGCGACTCAATTTCATGCTTTTTTTCCTTTAACTGCAATTTTCTTAGGT